GCAATGGAGGTTGGCACGGAGGGCAGGGGGGGGGGTCATGGGGGATGAGGGACGCCAATCCTCTTTCTTTCTTCCCGACGCTCGCTCTCTCTATATCTATCTATCTCTATCTCTCCCTCCCTCCCTTCCTTCCTGCTTTCCTCCCTCCCTTCTTCCCTTCCACCTTCCTTCCCTCCCTCTCTCCCTTCATGCTTCCCTCCTCCCCTCCTTTCCTGCTTCCTTCCTTCCTTCTCTCCCTCCCCTCCTTCTTTTCTTCCCTCCCTCCTTCCTTCTTTCCCTCACTCCTGTCCTTCTTCCCTCCCTCCTCTCTCTCTCCCTCTCTGTACCTCTGTATGCCACTTTTCCCACTCATTTCCCCACCCTCCTCCTGCTGGCTCGTTTACCTGTGCCTCGCGTCGTGGTTGGTCGTTGGTACACCTTGTTATGTTATAAGGAAGCTGTCTGGCGACCTGTCAGGCATGAAAAGGGGGGGGATGGCGTTAGGCTGCTACACTCATCTTGATCACAAACTTATTATTATGATTAATGTCAGTATCTGAAAACCCCATTCATTGTCAACCCATGTGTTGTTTTCTTTTCATGCTTTAAATGTAGCTTTGTGCCGGGGACACGAAAAAAGTGGTTGTCACTGTAAGTCACTGCCACAGTGGCTCCTCACGCGTTTTGTTTGGCTAAAAAGGGGGCTCGAGGAGTATTGTTTGGTCTTAATGAGACGCCCCTCGAACGAGCGGCGGGCGCTTGGGGTGGCCGAGGGGTGGCCGAGTCCTAGTGCCGCTTGACTTGGCACTTGAGATAATGGTGTGAATAGTAACATTTTTCTTTTTGTGGCGGGGACAAAGGAGCGTGTGTGTTGAAGGTGTGAAGTGGGAAATGAGAGGGTTGGGCTGGAATAGCGGAGTGGGACATTCCACTCGCTTCCACCGCCTGATCCCTTTCTGTCGGTTTTTGTTCCCTTCCCTGTTTCGTTTTTCCTACCATATTTTTCATCCTGTTCTTTTTTTTCTTTTTTTTCCTTTCCATCTTTACTATCTGATCTGCTGTTTTTATTAACTCTTCTACACCCGTTTTTTTATTTTCTTTCCATTTTCTTTCCTTCACGTGAACGACGTGATTCATTTTCGGGGGCTTTACACCGCCAAGTGAAAGTGTGAGCAATCGTAAAGATGTAAGACGATTCTGATCTTTAAAAAAATGAGTTTTACTTATTTATTTATTTATATTTACCATAAACATTTATCAATCGTCTACTTATTATTTTTGTGTGATAAATAATGACTTTCTTCGCCGTATTGTTTTTCTCTCTCTATGAAAGAAAATTATTTTTTAAAATTGTTAAAGTGGTACTGATAATAATGATCGTATTTTTTATTAGTTTTTTTTTGTCATTTTTGTCCTTGGGGGCAAGTAAGGGCTAGTCTACTGGATTAGCGCGCCCGGTCTTGATGCTTGGCTTGCAGTGAAGCTGGGAAGAGGGCAAAGGGCTTTACTCCGTGTCGAGATCTTAGCTTTGACTTCAGTTTAGGCATATGCTTTTCCGGTCATCTATTGGTGAGTTGTTGAGGTCGTGCAGCCAAGGTTGGGAGTAGTGGACGAGGGTCATGGAAGACGTTAACGCAACGAAGGTCGTGAGAGAGCGGTGCACGGGGTCGTGGCGCAGGAATGCCGTGTCCGCGACAATAACGACCCGGGCTGTCAGAGACAAATGGCCCCGGATCCCCGACGCGACTGGTCCCTCGGTACCCCCAGAGGGCCCCCGTCCCCCCGCACCCCAGAGCTGATTTTTATGACACAATGTTATGGTCAGGGAGATGGTATCGTGGCGGCGGCGCGGAGCGGAGAATATGCGATGTCGGTGCTGCGAATGCCCAAACAGCGATGCCCGGTCCTCCTGCTCCTCCCGAGTCCCCCTTCTCTATCGTCCTTTGATCCCTCACCCTTGTGTCAAGGAGGTCATTTCGAATTCCTCTTCTCCCTCAGCAATATTGCTGCTGTGCGAGTGCTACAATCCTCGGGTGTGCGCAGCGTGCGCATATGTGGGCGGACCCTTCGGAGAGTGCCATGGCTCGACCGTCTTCTCTTGTCTTCTTTATTACTTGTCTCTCCCCCTTGCTTTATGTCTTTCCTTATTCCCATCTC